GAAAAACTTGGCTTATACTCAAGTATATATGGTAAATGGAACAGTAGGACTTCATTCTTATATTTAAGAAGATGACACAGCCTTAAAAGTAAACACATGACTGCTAAGCTGACTGAAGCCACCATGTAGCAAAATATGGAACATTATGTATAGATTATTTCTTTTTCAGAATTCCTATTCCTTACCTTTTCTGATCCATTAATAATAAAATAGCCACCAGGATCAAGAGGGCACTCATTCAGTTGACAAAGATCACGGTCAGTCAAGCCATTTAGCAGGCAATATGTGGATCGCAGCATGATAGGGATCTTTCCTATAAATGTTTTTTGATGTTGCGTCTGTAACTGATCCTCTCCTTCTTTAACAACTGTCTTAGTTATGTCCACATACAATGGAGCAGAGTACCTTTAAAAGAGAAGATGAATAGAGTTGTAATGATACAGATGATTTCCCAAGTAATTTAAATAATACCAATTCAAGCTTGCATCTTTTGTACTACTGTACTGTACTTGACAATGATAACAAGTGAGGCATCACCCAGTAATAATAATAATAATAATAATAATAATAATAATAATAATAATTTATTTGTATACCATCCTATCACCCCCAAAGGGACTCAGGGCAGTTTCCAACATGTAAGGCAAACATTCCATGCCAGAAAGAAACCATACAGACAATTACATCAAGATAAACACCTTTGACACTACAACACAATCAAATTAAACTTAACAGACAAAATAACAACTGAAAGCATAATAAAATACCAAAAAAATCTGCTAAAGCACACTAAAGATAAAAATATTTTAAACCCATTTCATTACAGTTCCATCAGTAGAGGTTCAACAAAACCAATAGCCAGGGTTACAAATAGACATAGCTAACTATAAAGGAGTTGGGCATTGGATAGTACAAACACGAATATACCATATACCATCACTAATTATAAAAGCTGTAGTTTCTTACGTGAGGTTTCTCAGTCTTGCTTCATTTGGCATCATAGGTGAAGGGGCACCATCTCTTTCCCAATGTGTAGGCTTGGATAGATAAATTTGCTCAAATTTCAGAAGATAGCGAGGCTGAAAATGTCCCAAACACATGGATTTGATTACACATTTTACAGAATATGAGAAGTAGCAGCTTATAAAATAATTTTCATTCTAGTTCTCTATTATTACTTAGATTAAGTGTTCTGAAAATATAGGAATGTATAAATGGCAAGCTGGGTGGGAGCAAGTCTAGGTGTAGGTAGGAGTGCCAAGGAGGGCAGCACAGGGCATTTTCAGCCAGGCTGTACTCCTCCTGGCACATCTGCATCAGCAGAGCATGCTGATGATTCACTGGGATAAAGCAGAATTGGCACATGGCCCCTCCAGCACTATGCAGTTTAGGCCTGATTTGGTACTGTTCCCCTGTCTCCACTTCACCATCTTCTTCATCAGACTAATGACAGAAAGTACATAGTTCAAAATATCAACTAAAAAAAAACCACCTGATCTTCATATGAAAAACTATGTAATTCATCATGTTCAGACAATTTTGAATGAAATCAGAGACACCAGAGAGATAGGCACATTTCTGATAAGTTTATGGGGAAAATGCTTATGCTTCATGGAACATAAGTTGTAAAATGATTTGTTTCTTAAGGACTGTCTTATTGTTTCACATGTCATTTTTCATTGCTGGCACCTAGACTCAGTTTGATGAGAGGCAACAAGTGGGAGTTTGGTGTACTGACCCTTCAAAACAGGATTGTACTTTCCTTGAATAAGCAGGTGCAAATATTTTGGTAAGTGTTTGGATCTAGTCTTGCCACTAGTAACAAAAGGGAAACAAACTCTACTTTAGTTGGCCAGGCTGATTTTATGAGAAGCATGCCTAAAAGATGGCCTGCAGAATTTGTCTTCTAATGGGTACAACCATGTAGGATTTCTAAGAGCTCTGAACTGGTTACCTATTAGCTACAGTGCACTGGTATTCAATGCTCCAAATGGCTTGGGACCAAAATACCCAAAGAAACATTGCTTCCTCTACCAGCCCATCTCTTGACAAAAAAATAGCCTTTTCTGCAGGGCATCCCATTTATGAAATACCTTCCCTAAACTGCTTTAAACAAAATACCAACATTTTGGATTTGTTTCATCATCATATCAAAACTTACTGGCTCTTCTACTTCGCCTGTAGCATGTTGAGCTTCTGCTTGCAGATCGATGGGTGGGGCATCTTCGACAATTCTCTGCACAGACATCTGAATGAACTCATCAAATGAATCAAGCTGCTGACGGACCAGGCCCTTTTCATCAAAGTAAGAGCTTTGCAAAACAAGTTAAAATCAATGAGAATTACTACTGCAGAATAACAGCACATTCCAAAATAGCTTCTTCAAATAAGCTCCCTAGATCTCCTTGATTAATATAAAAATGTTAGTGAACTACACAAGAGTTCCAAAGGAGAAATACATAGTCTTCATTTTTTTTATTCATGTGAATATTGTAACATCCGTAACTTCAGAAGAACAATTTCCTCCAGTATGAGACTTGAAACATACTAGTATGTTCAAGTTGCATGATGTATTGTTTTCTGTGAAAGACATTATGGATAGGTTCTTCAATTCAGTGAAATTCAACAAAGTTTAAAAAAGGTTTATTTTAGAGTGAATCTGAATTCTTTCATATTGTTTATTTGAGCACTTACCTGATGACAATCCAGCATGCTTCTTGCCACAAATCTGGGGTGATTTCATCATCATCTTCATCATATTGCATATCTGCCAAGAAAA